AATTTTATAAAAGTAAGTTTAAACTTTCGATTATATCAAATAGAATTTCCGATATATATTTGTTAATATGTAAAGGATCTAAAGCGAAAGTATGTTTTGAAATCCGAAATCTGTTTATCAATTTCACGTTGCTCGGCAGGGGGAACGCCGCGGTGGGCCGCGTAATGAATTGGAAGTTGATCTGTCAGCACTATCCTTATCTTGAGCGCAGATGTTTTTATTTTATTTGGCTTATAATTCCTTACCAAATGTAGTATTTCATCTCGATATGCTCCCTCTTTGATATGATTTAAAACAAGTTCCTCGTCATTATAATTCGCTTCCGATAGAGAAGAAAAGTGACAGAGGTTATTGAAAACGAAAAAATTTCGATTGACAAATTAGTCGGTGTTCTCGACACAGCAATTATAGGACTTGAACAGCAGAACTTTGTAACTGAACAGAAATTATGTCTGTTCAATAGAATTAAAGAGAAAGTATTATCACATGAAACGAAGCAAAACTTAAACAACTTACATTGAAAGAAATGTTTAATAAAGTAAACAAATAAATACAGTCAAAAGTCGTTAATTCGGACACCCATAATTCGGAATGATCTATAATCCGGACATCAAAACTAAAAACTTTCTGCGCATGCGCCGCGTTGACAAATGCGCAGAGGCGTTCACGCGCGCGCGTAAGACCTTTTACGACTGCGCATATGAGTGTGCGCAAGTGCAGAATACGTTTTCGCGTGCGCATTTTATGTATAATGGACGTATAAGCTAAAATTATCTAATTATGTATTTCAGTTAATGTTGATGATTGCGTTGTTCCTTAATTTTCGAATTGCATCCGGCTTATTATTTTTTGCAGACTGTAAGAGCAATTTTATAAAAGTAAGCTTAAACTTTCGATTATATCAAATAGAATTTCCGATATATATTTGTTAATATGTAAAGGATCTAAAGCGAAAGTATGTTTTGAAATCCGAAATCTGTTTATCAATTTCATGCTGCTCGGCGGCGGGCGCGTAATGAATTGGAAGTTAATCTGTCAGCACTATCCTTATCTTCAGGACAGATGTTTTTATTTTATTTGGCTTATAATTCCTTACTAAATGTAGTATTTCATCTCGATGTACTCCATCTTTGATATCATTTAAATCAAATTCCTCGTCATCATAATTTGCTTCCGATAAAGAAGAAAGTGATACAGAGTTTATTGAAAACGAAAAAATTTCGATTAACAAATTAATCGATATTCTTGACACAGCAATTATAGGACTTTAACAGTGGAACTTAACTTAACAGTGGAACTTTAAAGTTAACTGAAGAAGAAATTATGTCTCTTTATAGAATTAGAGAAAGTATTATCACATAAAACGAAGCAACTTAAACAACTTACATTGAAAGAAATGTTTAATAAAGTAAACAAATAATATATTAAGTTTTTTTTTTTTTTTTTTTTTTTTTTTGTAAATTTTGATACCCTTTAGATCATAATTGTTCTTTATTTCATAAATTACGGTTTTATATTTTTAATTTTATAATTTCTGCATGCCATCTTACCAGATTTAAACTGATGATCTATAATCCGGAAAAATCGATAATCCGGAATCGCCGAAGTCCCGACGAGTCCGGATTAACGACTTTTGACTGTATTAAGCTTTTTCTTTTTGCAAATTTTGATACCCTTTAGATCATAATTGTTCTTTATTTCATAAATTACGGTTTCATATTTTTAATTTTAGAATTTCTGCATGCCATCTTACGAGATTTAAACTGATAATCGATAATCCGGAATCGCCGAAGTCCCGACGAGTCCGGATTAACGACTTTTGACTGTATAATTTTGTATTCAGAAATATGTACACACACCCATACACCCTCCTTACCCGGCTTAAAAGTCCTTACTTGGTTTAAAAGTCTTTACTTGGACTAGTTACTTTTTCTTCACAATCGTTGGTCATAATCATATACATTACAAAGTGCGGAATCACCAAAGTCCCGATGAGTAGATATCTTATCTTACTGCTGAAATCCGGACTCGTTGGGACTTCAGCGGGATTTGGGATTTTTCTGTTAATTAGATCATCAGTTTAAAACTAGTAGGATGGCATGTAGAAATTATAAAATTAAAAATATGAAATCGTGATTTATGAAATAATGAAATACTTATGATCTAAAGGGTATCAAAATTTACACACACACACCACACAAAAAAAAAAAAAAAAAAAAAAAAAAAAAAAGCTTAATATTTTTTTGTTTATCTTATTAAGCATTTCTTTCATATAAGTTGTTTAAATTGCTTCGTTTTTTTTGTGCTAATACTTTTCTTTATTCTGTAGTCAGACATATTCTCTTGTTCTTCTTGAAGTCCCATAACTGCTGTTTCGAGAATTCCGACTAACTTGTTGATAAAAATTTTCTCGTTTTCAGTAACTTCTCTGTTACTTTTTTCACTATCGGTAGCCGTATTTTCTGGTTCTAGAACCATACTACAGATTTCACCATTCATTGATTGATGATTGATAAATAAGCATTGTCATCACAATGAAAAACTTCTTTTATATCATCTTCATTTATTACGGCTTCTGCACATTTCTTTATAAAATCTGTTATTGGAAAATTTCACCTTTGTTTTGCGATATCCGAAAACCTTTAAAGTTAGCGGCTATCATGATCAAATTCAGCTATCCTTCACTATACATATTTGGCTATGCTTCATGAGCTTGGCAACTAACGACAAGGTGTTCCATTAAATTTATCGTGCTTTTATTGCACACTGAAACAATTAAGACTGAATTGTATTAGTTTAGTTATTTATTATACCTATTTCTATTTCTTACACATGCTTAAGGCTTATCAGAATTCTAAATAAATTCCCACATATACTTAAATCTTATTAAGGGCCGGTGCTAGATATCTTGCTGCCTGATGCAGTATCTGTGGATCCTAAATTCTGCGACTCAGTGCGGCCATACGAGCCCTGGCACTGGTTTTGGGTTTATGTGAATATTAAATCAGTTATTCTTAATTCAAATAGCTCTAAATGTAATCTTTGAGTCTATGAATATCATCAAAAAAATCTATTTTTAGCATATGGAAAGAAATGTTTGGTAAATTTTTCCTCGTCAATATTTTTTAAGCACCATTTAACTTAAATCTGTAATCATCGGCCAAGCGTCATGTCAACATAAAAGGTTACCATAAATCCTTAATGTTATTCAATTACTAACATAAAAGAAAATTGTTTAGGCATCGCTACATGAGTCATTACTCAAGTTGTCATTTTTTGATAAACATGCGGTGATGAAAGGAAAGTATAATAAATAATAATGATTCGCCAGGTTGGCTTCAGATCAACCATGTATCTAGGTGGAATGTTTTCAGGTTTGAGGAAGTGTGCCAAGCAGACACGCAGCAACAAAGCCAAATTACTGATTGTACAAATTTATGCTAAAATTATTCTTTCTTCAATAACAAGGTATTTTATTTAGTGTCAAAGTGAAATTAAGAATCGTAACTCTCCAGATGTTTTATTATGCTTGGAAGGGGGAATTAAATGTGCATGCATTAAGCCTACAAGATAAAACGTTATTGGTGGTTTCGAGGTCCGGATTTTAGATCATTCTGAATAATGGATGTCCGGTTTTCGGACTTTATACTGTACTTCTTATTACTGAAGTGTTTCAAATGACAAAAATGGAAATCAAGGTTTGGAAGGGGGAATCAAATGTGGATGCGTTAAGCCTACAAGAAAAAACGTTGGTGGTTTTGAGGTCCGGATTTTAGATAATTCTGGATAATGGATGTCTGGATTTCAGACTTTGTACTGTACTTCTTATTACTGAAGTGTTTTAAATGACAAAAATATTCATGTTTTGACAATGTCAAATTTAAAAAAAAAATTAATTTTCAACAAACAATGAAATCTAAATTTTGATATGATCTTCTGGTTCCTACACTTATATTCGGGAAAGTTTTATACTCGTTGTGAAGACATAAAATTAGAAGTTTGTATGACAGAAACTGATTGGGATATTTAATTTCAAAATTTGCAGTTTTTGATGTCAAGACAAGTTGAAAAAAAATTTGCCCTTGAGAGATCACTCAATTAAGTTAGAATAATTCAAGAAAATAAGCTTAAATGAAGCACAGCAAAAAAAAAAAAAAAAAAAAAAAAAAAAAAAAAATGTGTATAATTTAATTGCGCGTAAAAGGAAGCCATGGGGTCCACATCTATTTATTTATTTATTTTTTTTTTTTTGTATGAAGGAAAATTGAGAAATAGCAATTAATTTATATCTTTCTTTAAAAAAACTAAACTAGCAAACTAGCTTGTTGAGGATTAATTGGCAAATTTAAAACAACAGTGAAGATCTTATGAAATTGACAGGGAAAAGTGCTAATAATAACATGCCATGTTAAGGTAATCTGAAAAAGTATAAAAACTAGCTGTGCCGTTACACTTTCAAAGGTGCTTGGGCATTGGTATAGGTGTTAACAATGTTGGCTGTCATGTTGTTAGGGCTTAGTTTGAATCCTGAAGAATGTTTGGTTATTTGTAATTATGTTGTGTGTTCACAGCATGGGGGAATTTAAATTATATGAAATGGAAGTTTTATGATTTGGTGATAGTTGAAGAGGTGTGGGAGACCCTTTGGTTTAAAAATGATTGTTATCGTTTTTAAGGTGTCCAAGATCCATGCCAACAACAGGTACAATCTTGCATTCCTTGTCATGATTAAGCTTCTTGGACTTGTTCTGATGTTACTGTGAGGCAAGCGAGATAACTTGCAACAAAAGTACAGATTCATTTTACATCTTGCATTGGCATTCTTATCATTTGATGATATTGTTTGTAGCTGCTTAATTCATTCTCCTTTGTGCTATATATTTTAAATTTGTTTTTCTACAGCTTTAAAAATTTTGTGTATATACATCCATTTTATGTTACGAACATGTATTACATTAGTTTTTGACAGTATATAATAATTGTGAAATTTTGTTCTTTAGAATAGTGAGTGAGGGATAATTCAAGTGAGTGTTCAAAATGGCTGATATTTTTTTACAAAAGGACTTGGTGAAGCTTCTCCGTAATAAACGTATTGTTCTTATGGGTGATTCAAGTAAGCTGAAATTATAGTAATCATGCAGATACAATCTACTGCTTTTAATTATTTATTTCTTTTTAAAAAATTCACTAAAAATGCTATTTTTTATATTCGAATGTGTGATAAAATGTAGAAAAAAGAAATGACTTGAAACAATGACTGACTGAAAACAATTTTAGTGCTGTGCTCTAAAAAATAAAAAAAACTGACTAAAAACAGTAGATTGCGTATTACGGGATATCTGAATTTGTTCTTTACTTCATATAATTTTGTAAATAATTATTACATTGCAAAATTATGTAGAACAGTTTTATTGCTTTTATCATTTCTATTCCCTTATAAATAAATTATTTGACATTTACAGTTATTTTTTAGTTTACATTTTTACAATGTTATATTTTTGTCAAATTGTTTTACATAGAGACTTGAAAAATTAAAATGTATTTATAATCTGCTATAGATGTGAGAGCTGTTTACAAAGATGTCCTTTGTTTATCAAAACAATCAAAATTTTGTTCAGATCGGATTTTCAAAACAAAAGTAAGTAATAGGTTCTAATTTTTCTTTTGACATTATTGAATTACTATAGATTGCTTACAGCACATTTTTTTATATCATAGATTACTTTCTATGCTTTTTAAAAAATTAAATATATCAATTAAAAACTTATATGTTTTTAAATGGAAGTATGAGTATTTTTCAAGAAATATAAAAGAGTAAAGGATAAAAGGTGGTTGAAATTAATTTTTTCCTGCTCACTACAGTATCAAGTAATCAACAGAATGTCTCCAAAGCTTCTACATATTCAGTTTAACGTATTGGAAGAAAGTTTCCACGAAAAATATATCTTTAAAGCTTTTATAGGGGAAAACATGATGTTTTATAGGAGGCATAAAGGCCTAAAAGTATTTTAAATTTTTGGCTCTACTCTTATATGCACCCTAAGATCACCAAATGTGGCGATCTGTGTTTTGTGCTGGTTTTTGGCACGATTGCGTGTTGTACGGCAACCCTTTCGACATTGAATACTCTTTTCCTGGAGTGTTTTGATTGCTCATTGGTTCATGTCGTGCGTGTTTTGAAATGGCCTATGTTGCAATGAGAGACGTGGTTGCAAGAGGGTAGCTAATAATTTAAATAATTATTTTGCAATAATTTATATATAAATAAATTTTATTCAGTCTAATACTGTCATATCTTATACTATCATACCATATTCATTACAAAATATTTATTTTAAATTTTAGATGGAAAATTCAGTTTTTGGAGATAAGTTGGTCCATCATGGGCCAAGAAGCAATGGACGAGATTATCGGGAAGAAAGAGAGGCTATATCTAGTGGTGTTGACATATCCTTTTATTTTCTTACAAGAGTCTATAGTGATTATGTGGAGAAAATACTGAAGAATATTAGTAACAAATGTCCTGATATACTAGTCATTGGTTCCTGTGTATGGGATGTGACCAGGTAATTTATTGTTCTTGTGAAGCAAGAATGTTTTCTTGAGAGATAATTTATAGGATTATATGTTTACTTACTTAATAATTTATAAAAGCTCGTGACCAAAATTTGCTATATATCTGCAACTGATGCGATTGGAAAAATGCAAAATCTTAAATGATTGAGTTTTAGAAACCCTAGTTCTTGTTATTTCTTAATTTATGTATTACAGTAAAATAGTGATCATAAGTTCAAATGATATTTCATTAGTTTGTTTCGTTTCTGAAAAATTATGCAGCTTATTATTATAATTTTATTTTTGTCTCATTAGCTCTTATTAAATTAAAATAATTAAAATACTCTTTATTCAGATTCCCCCCCCCCACCCCCCCAAAAAAAAATGTATTTTTGACAAAATTGGCATCTATGTCCTGAAATGGAAATTTCTTAAGTAATTATTTTTTAACTTCTTTGTTATTTACTTAGGTAAGAAATAATATTAATGAAGCAAAACACTTTTGGATTTCAGCCATACAGCAACTGTCTAATTGAAATCCAAAAGTTTCCAAAAGTTTTTAATATTTCTATTCTTTTCTTTTAAAAAATTCATCATTCATTTCTGTAAATATGTAGGAATTTTAAACTACTTTCTATTAGATATATTATGAGTAATAAAAAATTTTTGTGTATTTCTGTGTGTGTAGTGCTAGAATAATATGGTTTTACGTAATTTGTTTGTGGAAAAAATTGAGTTATGCAGATCTATTAGAAAATAAATGATAATAAATTATCTTGCATAAAGGTATTTTATTGTATCAAAAATGAAATAGGAATGGATAGGAAGCAATCATCTTTCATCGTAGTCTAATTTGATCATAAAATGGTGGAGTTCTGTGTAGCCTGGAGAGAGAGGGCAACAAAAAGCAGAGGATTCATGTTCAATCTCTGAATTAACTCTTATTCAATAATACCACTGTAAACTCATTTGTATTATTTTGTGCATATTAACTGTACTAAGAGTTGAATACTTTCTGATTATTTGTAACCCTGGCTTCAGGATTCAATAGCACTTTAAATGCAGTGCTATATTGGTGTAATTTTGACTATGTATGCATTAATAACCAGCCAACAGTTGCACATACCAGGCACTTATTTGACTCAGCAAGGAAAAGAAAAGGTCTGTTTCAAAAAATTTTTGAAGCACATAGCTGAACAATATGCACCAGTTGTGAGAGAAGAAATAACAGCTATAGAGATATTTGTTTCTTTCACATAAAAATGCTTCTTTTATTATTACTTATGCAAAAATGCTTATTTAACCAGGAGTACTGATTTATAAAGATAGCCAAACAAAAATTTTTTGTTAATTCACAAAAACAGCAATGTATTTGTTTGGATTTTGTAGGGGATGCAAATAATCAGAATTTACTATCAGAAGATTGTCTTTTTCAATTTATTTAAAAACTTAACAATTATATTTCGTACATCTGAGCTTTTTCTCATGGGGTGAAAACCTGTTAATTGGAAACATCTGTAAAGGTATAGCAATTCCTCCTTCCTTCGGGGGGGGGCATCTCCAAGAATCTCAGGTGAGACCTTAAATTACATTGTCTAAAGTCACATAACTGTCAGTTGAATGTTGAATAGAGAAACTTTTAAATAATCACAGTTTTGGGTTGAGCACAAAGGATTAAAATAAAGTTTTACATTGACGCCAGTATAAAACATGGTACAAAGCCTGAACCCAAATAAATTAGCAAATCACAGGTTATTACCTCACTCTACCCTCCCAAAAAATAGTTGTACTGATGACTATTTAAATTACACACAGTAAACACACTCTTTTACTCTATCTAAAAATATGTATTACGCAATATGAATTCATAAAACACATGCATTTATCCTGGCTTAGAGGGAAAGCTTTGTGGATTTTTTTTTACACATTTCTTGAACTGATCTCTGCAGAGATTTTAATCTTGTTTCTAAATTGCTACATTCAGTGACATCAGAATAATCATAAACATTTTAAGTGCCATTGACAAAAGAATATATCATTGTCAATCTGATTAGAATCATTTACAATAAAATATTCAAAATTTCCTTTAGGCCTCTTATAATGAGGCTTAACATAATGAGATGGCAAATTTGAAATCTTTCTTTTTTCTATGGTAGAGTTGCGATGTAATCTGTTTTGGACAATTTACTTTTGACTTCCCAGATCCTGTTGAATAGACCGAAAGTTTATTTGGTTTGAAAGAAGCCAAAACAAATGCACTTACGTTAATTTCCTTTCTCATGGAATTTTGATCATACTTATTTTATCTTTTGATTTGAACAACCAGTTCTTGTCATTTTTCCAGACAATTTTTGAGTCTGAAAATGTTACACAATGTTTGTATAACATGTCTGCCATCTGTAAATTTTTTGTATGGGCTATTTCTGAAGGTGAAAGACCTTTGTTTTTGTGTGTCACAGTACTTCAGGGCCGAAGATTGTTCCTTATTGTAACTGGCTGCCAAACAGAAAACTCGCATTCTTTTTAGGTTGAGTAAAATTTCTCCCCGCTGCATTGGACTATAGGTGGTGTATAGAACTATGGCTAAGTTAATACTAAAATGTTAAAAAATTTTGGTTGTCAAAACTCTCATGATTAAGGTTCTTTTATCACCTAAATTTATTTAGGCTATTCTGTTCTGGTGAAAAGATTTAATAATGCATCCATAACAGTAATAGAAGTGATGTCTTCTACCAGAATAGCATCCAGATATACAAAGTTCTGCTATTATATACTTTTTTCCATGTGGTTGGTAAAGGTCCACATTTATCATGCTTATTTTCAAAAGTACTTTAGATATCACAAGGATAGTATTGAAATGTGCCTTTTTCTTGTCATTGGGTTTCTCCACTCTTTGGCAAGGATCGCATGTAGTTTGTAGATCAGTGTTTTGCTATTTGGCTTTAACTACAAAGGAATTTTTCTTTCAATCAATTTTATTTGCCGTGGGCCTTTTGTGTTAGTTACAAATTTAGATGTACATTTGTATATCTTTCACCTGGAGGTGTGGATTGTGGAGGTGGCTGAAGTCATGTATTTTGAGATAAAGTTTAATGCATAGCAAATATAATCACATAGCATATCTTTCAGGTGATATCCAATTGTTGATAACATTTAAAACAGTTTAGCCTAAGATTTAAGTTATAATCTTTTCAAAGTTAATTTTCATTTGACATCACTTTTCATTCACACTAGCTTCAATAAAAAACATAAAGTCCAGCAAAGTAAAGAGAAATTGCATTTAAAATTTTGAAATTCTGTTAAATAAACTGAATATTTTTCAGTTGCAATTTTGAATACGTGATACAGTGGAACAAATCAGGAGGATTTCTGATAAATCATGTTAATACAGATTAAATTTTCAGATATTAGGTTTTGATTAATTTTGTTCACAATACATCCTTGTACAATTAAAAAATGCAGTTGAGTAAAATAGTAAAATAATAAATAAAGTGATAATAGTAGAAAGCAAAGTCCTTGTCCTGCTTTGCCAGAAAATCAAAGTCTGTGAACCTGCTTTGCCAGGTAAAATACGAAAAAACACTAAAGATACAATTTTTGAAACAAGTTACATATATACATCACCAGGAAGCATTGTGGTGAATGGATCTTGGTCGTTTGACTACATTATCTATTGATGGGTCATAGTTTATGAGATTTTGTATGTCGTTATAGGGAGAATTTCGTATGTTTTCAAAGAAGTTATGCAAAATGATTAAGATCTGTTCATGACTTGGTTTTAAGGTCATTCTGTATTTACAAATTCCTTACGTACCAAGTTGCGCTTATGATGGCACTCAGAATCTTGTTTCGTAGAACATTTAGCTTGCCTCTGTCTGTTTAATTAACGGTCAACCATGCTGGGACTGCTTATAACATAATTGGACAAAATTAGTGTGAGGAATATGGTCCTTTTATTTTGTATATTAAGTTTTGAATTTTTTGCTATGATGCAGTAGAGAGCCATAAATGTTGCATTAGCTTTGTTAAAAATTTCTGCAATGTGATATTTAAAGAAGAGTATTATCTACTGTCACACCCAAGTATTTATAAGAATTTGCAGTGCGAATTATGTCATTTCTGATTTTAACTTCTGTTTGCACTTTTGCACATTTTCTGTATCTTCGGAATTATACTATACAGTATTTGTTAGAGTTAAGCTTTATCTTCCAGTCTTCTCACCATTTGGTGACTATATTTACTTTCAGCTACAGGTTATTAATGGCAATTTGCAGGTTGAAAGAGTCCGTTAAAATAACTGTGTCATCAGCATATTTTAGTAGTTTTGCTTTAAGTGGATATGGGAGATTGTTAATAAAGATGTTAAAAAGACTTGTCGCCAAGCCCTGAGGCATGCCACTGTATATAATTTTCTTGGCTGATAAAGGATCTCTGCACCGAACTTGAAATGTTCTTTGTTTTAAGTAGGAAATCAATAAGTGGATGAAACTGGTAGGAAGAAGACATATGTACGGATATGAGTTTCCATGTCTTGGTACCATCTTGGGGAGGGGAATCCCACAAAATTATCTTTCCATTTAGTTACACCCAGATTTCCAGACTTCTTACGGCATTAGCTTAATATTTTTGTCTGACAAGTTTCCCTAAATAATCCTCTTCGCATTTATATAGCAGTCTGTCTTCTATTTTGTAACTGTTTTTTAGAAAGCGATTTTGAGTGTCTAAAGATGCTAGTTCAAAAAGCAGCTAACTGCTGTGTCAGACAATGGGAATTGTATATCTCCCGGTCTCTTTTGGAATCTGGCAAAAAAACTTCACTTTCTAGGAGGTTGGCTGAGAAAGTGTGTTCCTTTTTTAGCTAGGGCCAAAATTTTCTCCGGGGCTATCAATATGCTTTTTTTTTTCCATTCATTGCATTTCCCTATTTCCATTTTTGGCATTAAATGTTTCACATTTCCTTGAAATCAGGCTTGAAGCATCTTTATCAGAAAAAAAGTTTGATTTTGATTTTCTACTAATTTGGCAGCTGTCTGGTTCCCTAGTAAGTAATGATTTGTGTCCATTCCACTTCAAATGAGAGCTGCAATTGTGATTTCACCCGAAACCTTTTTCTAGCTCTATGTGTGCCAAAGGTAAACAAATTGACATTTCATCAAATGGTTGTTTGACTGAAATATTCCTCTGTTAGCACTAAGGGAATTTGTTGCTTGACTGTAATATTCCTCCTGTTAGCATTATATAATATATATTTTACAAATGACATGGTTAGAGGAACTAGAGTTATGTCATAATAGATCAAAACCATTCACTTGTTCTGTATGGTACTAAATAGTCTTCCTCCATCTCCCCCACTCTATTAACAATAGCTTGAGATCTTAATTCTTTCTGTAAGTTTTTCTGTAAGTACTGCATGGTCATGTAACAGATACAGATTTTATTTGAAATATTAAATAGCTTATACTATCCCAAAATATGCTTAATTGATTATAGAGTATAATTTTTTACTATGATTGACTGTACCTTTTAATTTGTTTATAGTTAGAAAGTAAAGTGAAAAATTTATACTTCCTTTAGAATTTATTATTTTACATGTTTAATTACTTTTCTATTGATTTTTATTAAATAAATTTTGCATAATTAAATCTCTTCCTCAGATGGGGCCCTCAAGGTGTTCAAGACTACAAATCAAATTTAAAAACTTTACTGAAACAAATTCAGATTTATCTCCCAAAGACATTGTTTATTTGGTTAACAGCTCCTCCTATTGCTGTAGACATGAAAGGGGGTTTTCTCATTAAGGAATTGCAGTTCCTGAAATATTCCTTGCGTTTTCATATCATGGAAGCTAATCAATATGCACGTAAGGTAATTAATTTAAATATTGCATTAAATTATATTTAAAAAAAGTTTTTAGATCTTTTTTTTTTAAATTTTCATTTGAATGTTATTAAATTCTAAATCTATACATGAATTGCCATTGATCTTAAAATGTGACCATGTACCTGAAATGATATTTTTAATTAAAAAATAATTTTATTAAAGAAATAATAAGATGTTTATTTAAGAGGTAGAAGTTGACGATGATTAAAATGTAAGAATCAAGTGCTTTACTTGATTCCCTCATTATAGCAGAGAAAAAATACAATTTATGGTTAATTTAAATAAGAAGAACAAGGGACAAGGAAATAGTGTCATCTATTGCATGGTAAGTGGTACTAACGAACAAAAACACTGGAGTGTAAAAAAGACTCTGGATGTGTGACCAATCGGTTCTTTGGAACATTGATAATGAGGCTGTTAATAGTTTATTTTAATGTAACATTTGCCATCCCGTGTAAATCTTCCGTGTTCGATTTAGTGTTGTGAATAAAGTTTTTGTGTCCAAGTAAGAAGTCTGATTGTTACAAGCCTGAAGTACATCAATAGTGGTGATACTACAAATAGTATGTTGTGTTTGACAAATGATGTACTTTATATCCTTTCTACTGAATATTTGAAGGGTATATTTAAAATTTTAGTTGCATTAGAGAAGAAATGACTAATTTTCATTACACCTAACAAAAGAAAGATAATTAAAAATTGGAAAATATAGTCTAAATTTGTTAATTAAAACTGAAATACAGTTTATTTGGTATTTAATCTTTTTTATTGTTGTTTTATATTTTTAAAATTACTGTTTTTAAGCAATCATTTAACTTTAACTGGTCAAATGTTGCCTCTGATTCTGTTCCATTCATAAAACTTCTGCATCTCTTACGATGAATGAATTCTCTCAATGAAGAATATGATGCTAGCAATAAATCTTTTTTAGAGGTTTTTAAAAACAGTAGTCTTGCAGACAGCAGTTAACATTGTACTTTGATTGCAGTTGTCCCAAAAGTTCATGTTCATGTTACAATGGATTCATATGATTTCAGTAGAGTTCATTTGATAAAAGTTTTTGGGTTGAGAAAGATTTATAGCAGCCACAAACTGTATGAAGTAGTAAACATGAACTTGTCAATAATCTTGGTACTTGGTATTAAAAAAATAGTCATAATCTTATTGTGTTTAAAAAATGGGGACCGTAATGTAGTTACAAATTCTGAAATACAGACATCCAATGTCAAGAATGATATAATAATTAATATCCAGACCTTCAAACCACCAGCCAAAGGGGGAAAATGTTTTTCTTTGAGAATTTTTTCTCCTTGCAAAGTGTAGGAATGGAGAACATGATTCTGAAGAAAAAGGTGTGCTATTAAAATGATTTTTCTTCTGCTCATAACTTTCCAACACCTGCTGGCTAGGGAATCACATTGTGGCCAATGACAGTACATTGAATGGCATTGCATTAATGTTGGGCACAACCACACTTTCGGCTCTTGAATGATTGTAGGGGTTAACATTTTTCTATCGGACATAAATAATACAAGAAGCTGCAAGATAGATTTGTTTGGAGTGAGATGTTGCTCATACTGGTTTCTTTTATTGCCATAGCAGTGGAGAAAGGATAAAGATTTTGAGGAACTTAGGTACAGTTAACATAGCAAACTGTGCTTTGCTTAACTTTCTGATTTGATCTGGCTTATTATTTTCCCCAGGCTATTATTATTACAGCTATATTTTCAAATTTTAACTTAATTTAATTTTCAGTTATATCAAAAAGAATTTTTGATTTGGACCTGCAACAGGATCTACAAAGCAAAAGCATGCTTTGATGTCAAGAAACAAAAAGTGGAATTGCTGCAAAAAAATATTGTTACTTTTTTCTCTTTTCTTCTGACACCAGTTCTTACGTTATTTTCTTCCTTCACGTTTGTACGGGGTTCGTAGATTTGGAGTGAGTAACGACGACACTTAATGAAGTATCGAAGCACACTTTATTAGCCAGTATTGTCAGGACAGCTCCAAAACATGTTTTACAGTCGTCGATGAACTACTATAAACACACTGATACGATCAGCGACACAGTCTTCAGGTTATCAGGCTATCATGGTGGAGACGGCTTCCTGCAAAGCACCCGACTCTGCTTTCCAGAGTACAGCTCCCGACTCTGCTTGGTCATTCTCGGAACTCCACATACTCTCGAGACTCTCCACGTTACTCGCGATGCACTAAAAGACTCTCTCGATGCACTCGATGACCCACTCGGCACTCGCTGCCCGGCTGTCAACTTGATCGACTCCGCTAGATGAGACACACTAACTGACTGTAGAACAGCAGGGTTTATATAGCTTTCGGCTTGTATTCGGGAACATTCTGGGCTAAACTGTTAAGAATTCGTTCCAGAAGGTTCTCCAACCGTCCATGGTATAATGGGCGATTTCTCGTCAAATGTGGCAACCCTGCCCTCATTTGCCATTTTATGGCAACCCTAAGACTGCTTTGCGGGGAAAGCCATCTTACCGCGCCTGTACATTTTGTAACTATATCATGCCAGTCCCAAAATTGAAGATACGATAACAAACTTTGCTTACTTTTCATGCATCTAGCAGTGCTGTCAAGTCTCCCAAACAAAATTTGTTATGAGGGAAATATTCATTAATAATAAATAGGATGCATATTTAAATGCAAATTGCATTTATTCAGCTGTAACTAAAATAATATAAAGCGACAGATACATTAATGTCGCATACAAGCATGCACAAAAGCTAAATAATAATAGAACAAGGGGATTATGGGATATAAAAATTGGGTGTGGTCGGCACACGTGCGCCTTGGCATTTCTAGGGTTACCAGAATTGAGTTGCAAGAGATTTTTTTTTCTTCTCAAATACTTGATTAATTTACAACAATCCCCCTTTAATCATGCGTTTGGGAAATGTTGGAAATCAGATTTAACTCACTTCTTAATTTCAGAAATTTTCATTTGGGCAATAGCTTTGTGAAAATATCAGCTTGTATTGCAATATGTTATCTCAATTTTTTATTCTCTTCCATTTCTCTTAGAAAGATATATTTAACATTAATATGCTTTAGCCTGGTCTTCATTTTCCCCTGTTTTATGAGGGTTATTGTGGATTTATTGTCCTCAGATATCTTAATGGGTAGTTTTTGAAGTAATCCAAAATCTTTAAGGAGATCTAATATCTATTTGAGCTTTTGAGCAGCAGTAGCTTCAAAAATAAGCTCAAATTCAGTAGATGCTATAAGGAAATACTATTTTGTTTCTTTGTGGACTAAAATATTGAGCTGTTTCCTAAGAAAATAAATTTTCACCGGTTGATCATCTAGCGGTTAAATCAGATGCATAGTCAGTATCTGTATAACAGGAAAGTGTTGGTGGGCTGTCAGAGTCAATTTTTAGGTAAATGTCCTTTGTAGAGTTCAGGTATTCAATCACTCTTATAACTGCTATCCAGTCCTTCTCATTTTGAGATTAATTTTTCTTGCTTAATAGACTCGCTGCTAGGATAATGTCTGGTCTGGTTAGAGTGGCTATGTATAGTAATACTCCGATGACTTACCTCTATTTGGTATTGTCCACTGGTGGAGAGGCATCCTCTTTCTTTGGATAAGAAATATCCATTGGTGTGTAAGATGCTTTGTTGATATCTGGACAAAATATCTTCTTCAATTTTTCTATTTTTGATTTTTGGCTCAACAGGAATTTGTTTTCACTTAGTCTTCTTGTCCTGTTTGAACTGTGCCTTCCAACTGTTCCATGTATATATCTTCTTCTAAATTTCCATGTAGAAATGCTGTAGTGACATCTACATGCCTCACATGCATTTTACCATATGCTGCAACAACAAGAAAGGTTTTGATAGTTGTATGTCAAACTACTAGTGCAGAGGTATGATAGTGCACTAGTGCAGTGCAACCAATTGTTTTACAAATTTTAAATTATGCCTAGATATTAAATTTTGTAAAATTTGGTGCAAAATTTATGGAAAAATTCAAAAATTTTTTCAGTTTGCTCCAAGAATAATTCACTCGGCTAACTTCTTAATATATGGTAACCTCTTTTCCTTTCCCTTCCATTATGCTGGAGCAGAAAAAAAGGCACCTTGTTCCTACCTTTTTTACATTGTGCATGTGTGGAAAATAGTCACATCGTTCCTACTTTCAAATAATTTTAACAAGGTGTCTAAACCACATTTGATGTTTTATTGCTTTATACAAATATGCCAAATTTCAAAATGTGCCAATATACAAATTAACATATATCTTCGGAAATTTGAATAAAAACTGTAATTTTTTGCAGGTAAGCTTAGAAATATGTCTACTTTAAAATGATGGCCAAAATTTTATAGATTATAATTAAAAAATTTTTTTGAAAAATGTCTAAAAATTATTTAAAAATACAAGTTTTAAAAATAAATCATAAAAAATGGGTGAATTATATTTGGAATGAACCTGAATTTCAAAATGTGAAAGGAAAAATTAAATAAGTTTAATAAAAAATCTGATGTGTACACCACATGACTTTCTTGTACATAATATTAAATTATATGCAATTTTCCTGCATTTCATTTAAACATATTGAATTAACAGTTAACAAATTTTGATTTAAATCTACTTCATGGATAGCACTCAAACCACAATAGAATAAATGCACTCTTTAAAGTTCACTATATTTATTTACCATAGCGACACTTCGGCACTGGGTTCTCTTAACAGCATTACATCTCATTTTATAACTCAGAGTGCACAAAAATTATATCATCTGAAGAATTACAAAAAGTTCTATTCAAGTGCTATAATAAATTTAAAACGAATTAAAAGAAATTAAACAGATAAAAAAGACACAGTTTTTCGCAGATGATTCAGCGTCGCTTACCTAATGCGCATGTGCTACTAATTAATTAAGTTCTCACTTCGCAGCAAAGCAAAAATACATAAAAATTTGAAAGGTATAGAGAAACGTAAAACTCAAAATA